GTTCAAATTTGGATATAGCTCCCATATATATTTTCTTCCGATTTTAGGAAAATGGTGCATCAAAGTCCTATATATCCTTCGATTTGCACGAAATTTGGCATAGCGCACTGAATTAAGTGTAGAAATATGATTTTTTAATTTCGTAAAAATCGGTTCAGATTTAGATATAGATCCCATATATATTTTTGTCCGATTTTAAGTAAATGGTGCAAAGTCCCTATGTGTTTTTATATATAATAAAGAACTCAAAATGTGGCCGAATGCACAAAACATACTAAAATAAGTGTAACCTAACATGTGACAAGTTTCGATGAAATTGGTTTACATTTAGATATTTTGCTTTAAATTTATTTATTTATTAATTTATTTTTGCTTTAAATTATAATTTTGTCCTATTGTAAGAAGCAACTCTATATCTAACCAAAATTTATAGGTTGCAGAAAGACCTGTTTAATTTCAAATTAATGGTCCTTCAAAAATGCGACGTCTGTTATGCTTCCATCTGTTGAATATACCCAAAGTGGTGAAGGGTATCATATAGTCGGCCCCGTCCGACTTTACTACTTTTCCTACTGGTTTGAGTTATGACAGTCTTGCAGCAAATGCGATTTATAATTTAGAACAAAAATGTTGCCGCCCACCTTTCCATTCAATAGAGAAGAAACACTTTATACAATCCGCATTGAAAACAAAACAAAATATCATTTTCTTTTAAAGAGAATGATTCAATTTTTTGTTTTCTTCAAAATCAAATTAAATCCGCTGCTAACATTTTACCATTTGTCCATTCATTAAAACATTTGTATATCTCTACTGCGTAGTTGAAAGAAAAAAAAAATGAAAAAAATCATAAAGTAAAATGTAATTGTCCCTATTAAACCAACAATCCATTCAACAATCAACCAATCATGCATCACAAATCATCAACATCATTAATAATTACATAACAATAATTTACCTTCTTTTTTAACACCATCAAACCCAATTAACATACAAAATAAATTCATCTATTAACTAACAAATTTCTTTTTTTTTTAGATATTAACATTTCGTTTTTTTTCTATAGAAAAAATTAACCAAAGTCTAACAACAATTTCTTCTTCCTTTTTTAGTTTAGTTTACTAAGTTGTAGTGTGTGTTTTGCAAGTGTATTAGTGTTATGATATAATATTGAAATAATATTCAAAAATGTGTCCTTGTCTTGTATGTTTCTTTAGTGTACTAACATATATTTTATCTATTGTAGGATGATTGCTTATGGTATTTTTATTATGTAAAAAAAACATTTTTACACAGGTAATTTGGAAGGTAACTGAGTTTTTAAATTTGGTTACAAATTTCATTTTCGTCAAGAATATGCGATTCTGGATAATAAAAAAATAAGTCTTTGAAACGAGAAAAGAACAAAATTAATTGGCAGCCTGAAAGTATGCTACAAAAAAGGCATAAAATAATACTTAACAGACAGATAAATAATTCCACCAAAAAAGCAAATCCAATGTATATACATTATCCCTGTTCAACCATGGGAACTGCTGCCCTTGTTTACATGTATAAAAAAGTACGTTCTCTGCGTTCTCTTTTAGTAAGTCATTTCATATGGCGGTTTCTCATATCATATCATATATACATATATCTATACCACTAATGCACATAATGGTACGGTAGCGGTGATGGCTAAACACGTTTTCTCTTTTCCTCTCTTTTCGTCAGTCATTTTTGTTGATGATCTCTCAGTTTCGCTCTCACACACTTACTCTTAATATAGTTCTGTTCAACACTGATCTATACCCATTTCGTTGATATATAATCTCACGGATACCCTCAGTCCACTGTCTAATTATGGGTATCGGAGAAGAAATAGCAGCCTGTGATCGTATTATATAGGTATTGCCTAGCCACATAGGATTTTCGGCAAAGCTGAGTATATATCTCATATCTACCGAGGAGGTAGTAGCCAACTTCACTATCATGCCATTTGGTAGTAAGAGATCTATGAACAGATGAGAGATTTAAGTCCGATCCTGTGACCTGTACGATTAATGGTCAGATTGCTTTGAATGTCCTGTGTATAAAGGTTCCATTTATTTACCTCTACATATATACTGTCATACATGGACTTTGATTTCTTAGTTCGGGTCAAAATTGCCTAATTATCAACTAATATCGTGAAGGATCCTAAGATTTCAACCAAATTCTTCAATCATTTTGGTAGTTATTCATTACGGAATCTTTTTAATGTAAGACGTTTGAATAACCTATGTGTGAGATCCGTCACGTCTCTTTCGATTTCATTGCTAGAGAAGTGCTGAACCATTTGCACACTTCCTAGTCTCAAGAAAACCCTCCTACTTCCCAGCACCTGTCTCCAAATAAGATATATTAGTAGCAATCATACGATCACTGGGCTCACTTGGTGGAACTTTTTATACCCTTTGCCTTATGGCAAACATTTCTACGGTAAAAATGTGCCTCATCAAAATATTGTTTTTATACCCCTGTTTATTTGAACCAAATCTGTTTCAGACAATTTGGAATCGATTTACAAATGTCCGTCCGTCTATCCGCACGAAAACTCTCAAAGGGAGTAACCGATTCCAATCAAAATTTCCACATCATAATATTTATTCCAAACTTCACCTTTATATATATATATATCGAAATATTGGTTTTAGACCCCATGTTTTTTACACCAAATCCGTTTCACACAATTTGGATTCGATTTACAATTGTCCGGCCGTCTAGCTGGTTTGCACGATAACTCTCGAAGGTAATAACCGATTTCGATCAAACTTTGTACATCGTAATATTTCTTTCGAACTTAGTTTAGTGGTACCTTCTCCACAAAATGATAAAAATTGTGCAGAAAATTTAATAAAGTCCGCAGATGGGATCCGTCAGTCCTCTCCTTTTGACCCTCACAAAGGGCCAACATTTTGAAAATTTCTTAATTCAATATCAAACTAATAGAATATCCGATTTGATCCAAACTTTGCAAATCGTATTATTTTTAACAAATCTAGATTCATTTCGAAGATGAGACCATGGACCCATACCTTATGATACCTCTCCCACAAAGGGTAAACGTTTTGCAAATTTGGTAATCCAATATCAAACGATTGGAATGTACGATCGGATCCTAACTTTGCACATCATAATATTTTTACCTTGGCTATATAAAGCTCACAGATGGGATCGGTTGGCCCACTCCTTCTGTCATCTCCCCCACAAAGGGTAAAATTTTTAAGCCATGATCAACATTTTCAAATATTGTTTATTTAATATCAAGCGAATGGAATAGCCGATTTGGTTCAATCTTTGTAAATCGTATTATTGTTACCAAACCTAGATCATATCCGAAGATGGGACCCATGGATCCACTCCTTCTGTTACCTCTCCCACAATGGGTCAATATTTTGAAAATGTGTTAATTCAATATCAAAGGAATGGAATATCCGATTTGATCCAAACTTTGCACATCATAATATTTTTACTTTGCCTAGATCATGTCCGAAGATAAGACCCATCGATCCACTGCTTCTAGTACCTCCCCCACAAAGGGTCAAATTTTTAATTTTTGAGTAATAAAACCATTTGTATAATGATTCCGTATACCTCTGCAAACCATAGGGGGTATGAATTTGTCGGCAACACGGACTAACACTTGTTTACTTGTTTTTATTTTTGGTAAAGGCCATGAGGTCGACCTCATCTTCATCATTGCCATAGGTTGTTGTTGTTGTAGCAGCCCTATTGCTTTTACACAACGGGCTGAGGTGACAGACGTTGGCTGAATAAGACTCGGATTGTTTCGGATCGTAGACCCCTCTGTCGTTGAAACGATTGCCATAGGTTGTGACGGCTATTTGTTTGCCTTTGTAGCATCTTCCGATTCTCATTGCTATAAACAGGTTTGGGGGGTTTCCTCTGTCGCCACCATGATGGAGTCCTTGACAGGGGTATGCAATTTGTGCGAGATAGGAATATTATCAACTAGTAGTTCCCATGTGCCGATACCCTCTTTCAAAGTTCCTCAAATCCTTTTTCGAATATGGAGTTGGGGCCCTTTTTGAGCCCTTTTCTCTAGTTTTTCTAGCCGATGCCTATGAACCTACCTGTATGTTTCCAATTACCTTTGCAGAAGCCTCGTAATTTACTTAACCTCACTTACAACTTCATTACCTAGTGACTGACTGCCTCTAAATCACTGGTTTATCGTCTTGCCGATGCGGAAGTTTCCTACCTCTTGAATTTGCCATATTCACTAGTGATTCACTCGGTTCCACTTAGAACTGAGAAAAAGTCGTCCCCACCCGCTTCTGACACCTGAAGAACTATTTTGTGACATTTGGGACCGTGGGTTCCAAAGTAATGAACTTGAAGGTGTCCCTTTATATAGACCCCCAGATGTGGGAGGTAGACAACAATCCCCGTATGGCTTCTTCTTTAAAAAAAAACCGAATCGACTCTATAACATATGTGATATTTTCTGTATATTTGGAATTTGGTCTGACCAATGGTACTATAATTTAACATTTAGTATTTTCGTAGGCTACCGGACCTGGCAGAAAGTGATCAATGTGGGTCCATGTTCTAGTTAGGTATTTTCAAAGCTCTAAACGCATTTTTCAATCAAAGTGATTGTGCAAGGGAAGTTGGAAAACTCACGGATTTATTGATCTACCTTTCAGTGGAAAATTATCAACCTAGTCTTCTAAATTAAATACTTCTTTAAATTATACATTAAAAATTCCAAATTACCTGTAAAAATGTTTTATTTTTATTCAACAACAAATATTTTTATGTGTTTTTTAATTTTTGCTTGATAACAACAACAAAGAAACAAAACAAAAACAACCCAACCAGTAACTAACCAAAATTTGTTTTTTTTCTTTTTTATTTTTTATGATTTTATGGCTTTGCTTCCAATCTTTCTCTTTGGCTCTCCCTCTCTATGTCTCTCTTTTTTCCCCCGTTATGGTTCACTCTCTCTTTAACAGTCCTTGCGTTCTCTACAGCCCCAACATATGACACTGGGCCTTAATGATACAACGACCACCACAATTGCTAGCGCAAATACCACGAGTACCGATGCCGGTTCTCATTCTAATGCTTCCGAAGAATCAATGAAAGATCTAATATCGCTGGACGATAGCCACAATAGTAGTTTTGATTTGGAGGATTTTGATCCATTGAATCAGAATGCTCGTCCCTTGCCCCCGCTTGGTGGCAAAGTTGGTATGAACAGTAAATCGACAACATTGCCAGCCACTGCTACTAGTAGAACCACACCCAGCCACCAGCAGCAGCACCAGCCAACTGCTTCCTTTATAACAGCGGCCAATAACAGTATAAGTAATCCATTGTATACATTTTATACACCCCAGCATATGGCTACATCTATGACGGCTCAACAACATGCTCCCCTAACCAGGATGCAAGCACCCACAACAGCAGCAACAACATTAATGCAGCAGCATCAACCCCCGACACCACCTTCCGAAATTCCACCACCTTTACCCAAATCGGTACCACCTCCTATGCCACCGCCCGATGAAGATTTTGAATTATTGCGAAAATATGGTCTTGATCAATTTACACTAATAACGACTTCTGTAACAGCGACAAGTACCAGTGCCACAACCATGGCCGGTACGACATCATCCCAGCAGAATGGCCTTACAACGACGGGTATGCAGAATTGGACCACGTTTGATTGAATTGGCCGAAGAATAAACGAAGCCGAAACAACAGCAGTAGCCAGAGTATCACTTGACGTGGTTAACCCGCAAATTTGTGTTGTTGTTTTTTTTTCTTTATTGATCGATGATATTTTTTGTAAATATTTTAGAAAATAAAAAATTAATACAAAATAAGAAAATGTAAAAAATAAAAAAACATATTTAAAGAACACACCGCTTGGCTTCCCCTATCGTTTTGTAGCCCCTTAAAAAAGAAATTCTGTAAAATATTATTAGTCAAAAAAAGCAAGGAAACAAATTGATATTTAAAACTATTATATAAAAATGTAAAAAAAATAATGCCCAAGAATAAAATCACAAATTCTATAACGACAAACAAACAAACCAACCACACACACACAACCCCCTATACATATATAAGTTTATAAATTATTTACAAAAACAAAACCAACAAATTCTTCTAGTGTTACTTGATAATCTAATGTAATTAAATAAAATTGTATCTATGTATAGTTGTACAAACAAACAAAAAAACATCCATTCAAATCAAACAAACAAAACAAAAACACAAATCGAAAGAAAACTAAAACTATTTTATTATACATATTATGGCTTTTTTATATATATTTAAATAATTAAATGCGTGTATGTGTTTTGATCTATTAGAAGTTATTTTTTTCTTTTCGTTGTTGTTTGTAAAATTCGATCAAATCACAAAAAAGCTAAGTTTAATTTGTCAAGGATCATTATGCAAATATAAAATTATTAAATATAGAGAATATTATACATAAATATAAAAACACACACCCACACTTATGTGAATAATATAACAATAATTAATAATAACAACAATAAGACAAAACCAACAAACAAAGAAAGAAAGACGTAATTCGAAATAAAATCCATAATAAATTATTTTAAAATATAAAAACAATAATAAAATTTTTATTAATATTTAAAGGAACGAAATGGTAAGATTTAAAAGTTACTTTAAAAAGACATAGGGATTTGGAATAAAAGTTGTTATATGAAGGGAATTTTCTGATTTGCAAACGGCTGTATTTGAATATTTAAAGGACAAGAAAATTAATCGACATACTTTTTTAGATGTTCTTTGTAGTTGTTTTTTTAGTATAAGAATAACCCTTCTTTTCAACGGCGAGTAAACTCCAACGGCATTCGAAAGAGTACATGTGTGGCTCTGTTATAAACTAGGCTCATTAACATCGTACCAGAATTAACAACATGGTGAACCTATGAAATTTGATTATATAAATTTGATTATGGCTAATGAGGGAATATTAACCTTGATACGGTGAAAATGTGAATCTTCGAAATATTGGTTTTTAGACCTCATGTTTCTTTGGACCAAATCCGTTTCAGAAAATTTGCAGTCGATTTATAAATGTCCATCCGTCTGTCTCGAAGGGAATACTCGATTTCATCCAAACTTTGTGCATCTTAATATTTCCTCCAAACTTAATTCAAGATCGAAGATGGGGAAAATAGGTCCACTTCTTCTGGTACGCCCCCACAAAATGGTCAAAGTCGTTAACAAAAATTAAATTTATAATATCATGCGAACGGACTATTCTATTTGAACCAAACTTTGTACAAACTATCTTAACCAAGCCTACATAAAGTAGGAAGTTGGGATCCATTGGTCCATTCCTTCTAGTACCTCTCCACAAAGGGTCAACATTTTCAATATTTCTAAATCCAATATCACGCGAAGGGAATGTCCGAATTGAACTAAGCTTTGCACACCTATTATCTTTAACAAGCCTAAATCAAGTCCGAAGGTGCATCCGTCTGCCCTTTCCTCTGGAACCTCCCACAAAAAGGGCCAATATTTATAATTTTAATTATAATTTTATTTGAATAACCGATTTGATCAACAATAAAAGCGAAACATCTTTGATAAAAAACATATACCTTATATTAAACGAATAATAAAACCTGTGTGTAACTCTGAAAACCTCCTCCGCAAACCATAGGGAGAGGGTATATATCTGTCGGCAACACTTTTTTATTTGTTTTGACCACAAATCATGTTATAAAATAAGAAAAATCTTGACCGATTAAATTTGTTCCTGTTCATACGATATCTATGTATGCACCGAATAACGTGTTAAAATTTGGAACGGATTGGATCATAAGTTTTTCAGTTATCATGCCCGCCATTCGTAAAAAACTGTTTCGAAAAAACTTGTTCAAAGCTTGACAAACACTCTTGCCGTCACTTGATGCTAAGACAACAAATCGGCTATATCTTCAGAGATGTTGAGATTTTACTTAAATTTTTAAAGGGACATTCTTGAATTAGCATAGGTTCGAAACTACTGAATTACTAAGACTGAAGACACCGATTAAAGGGAAAAGTTTCGCCACGATCGATGAGATAAAAGAACAAGTAAAACCTTAAATACGTTTTACGGACCTAATTCAGAACTATATGCCAAATTTCATGCAAATCGAAAGATATATAGTGACTTTGGTGCCCCATTTCCCTTAAATCGGACGAAACTATATACGAGAGCTATACCTACATCTGATCTAAATCAATTTCAATAGGGTTCGTCTTTGGGCCAAATAAGTGAGCTGTGCCAATTTTCATCCAAATCGGATCATAAATGCGACCTGTACTTTGTTAACAAAAATACATGGACGGACGGACATGCATAAATCGACTCAGAAAGTGATTCTATGCATATTCTCAAAAGCAACCATGGGTCTATCTCTATTATTTTTGCCTGTTACAAACATATGCACAAAGACATAATACCCTGTACCACAGTGTGGTGAAGGGTATAAAAACAGGTAATAAATTAGTATTTTTAAAAATTTTTACAGTTTTGCAAAAAAAAGTCAAAATCGCCGAATGTACCCCTACCCTGGGTAGTTTGGCATTTGATGGGTCACATTCAGCACCATAACCTTGTAATTATCACCGCTATCAGTCTGGTTGAAATGCAGATCCTCTAAATGTTCCATTTTGTTTGAATATGCGACTGAATGTTTGACTTTTAAGGCTATATTTTCTAGCGGCGGACGTTGACGTCTTATGGCCACACGCACTAACAGCAAAAGCTTTTTTCTATCGCATTTTCGTTAATACAAACAGGTTTATTCTTATGTAATTTCGAACCATATTAAACTAATTTTTTAAGGAAATATTATATTACTATATGTATATGCCCGAATGTGCCCACTTTAAAATGTCGAATCTACCCCAAAGGTACTTTCTATAGCTTTTTATACCCTTCACTACACTGTGGTACAGGGTATTATGTCTTTGTGCATATGCTTGTAACAGGCAAAAATAATCGAGATAGACCCATGGTTGAGAATATGCATAAAATCACTTTCTGAGTCGATTTATGCATGTCCGCCCGTCCGTGAACAAAGTACAGGTCGCATTTATGATCCGATTTGGATGAAATTTGGCACATGTCACTTATTTGGCCCAAGGACGAACTCTATTGAAATTGGAGAAAATCGGTTCAGATTTAGATATAGCTCCCATATATAGTTTCGTCCGATTTAATGTAAATGGGGTACCAAAGTCCCTATGTATCTAGAATGATGTGTGCTAAGTTTCTTGAAAATCTGTTCAGATTTAGATATAGCTCCCATATATAGTTTCCACCGATTTTAGGTACCAAAGTCCCTGAAAATCATTTGATTTGCACGAAATTTGATATAGCCTACTGAATTAAGTCTAGAAGGATGTGTGCTAAGTTTTGTGAAAATCGGTTCAGATTTAGATATAGCTCCATATATAGTTTCGCTCTATTTTAGGTAAATGGTGCACCAAAGTGACATAACGTATTGAATTAAGTCTAGAATGATATGTACACCTCCTATATATTTCCGTCCGATTTTAAGTAAATTGTGCTGTGAAGATCCACAGCTAGGCCGATTGACACAACGTACTGAAATTAATATAAATTAGTCCTTGGCAAGTTTGCTTCAAATCCGTTCAGATATAGATATATTGTAGCTTCCATATATAAATTCGGCTTATTTATGTCTGATTGAGATTAAATTTTAAACAGTGCAGCATACCGAATATCGTGAAGTTTGCTTTAAATTGATTTACACAAATCTGTCCCACTGTGCGCAAACGACTCTAAACTTGTCCAAATGAAATGAAATTTAGCATAGGTTCCAGAAAGACATAAAGATCTCATATTTAAGTTCGTTCAATTTCATGTAAAAATTCCTTCAAAAAGCGACGTCTTTTCGGATACATATGTAGAATATACCCAAAGTGGTGAAGGGTATCATATAGTCGGCCCAGTCCGACTTTACTACCTTCCTTACTGTTTTTTTTTTCATTTTTATAACCTTCACCACACTGTGGTACAAGGTATTATGTCTTTGTGCATATGTTTGTAACAGGCAAAGGAAATCGAGATAGACCCATCGTTCCTTTTGTGAATATGCATAGAATCACTTTCTGAGTCGATTTATGCAAGTCCGTCCGTCCATATATTTTTGTGAACAAAGTACAGGTCGCATTTATGATCCGAATTGGATGAAAATTGGCACATGTCACTTAATTGGCCCAATGAAGAGCCCTATTGAAATTAGAGAAAATTTGTTCAGATTTAAATATAGCTCCCATATATAGTTTTGTCCGATTTTATGTAAATGGTGCACCACATTCCTAATATTTGTTCAATTGAGACACAATAGTGACAAGTTACTGAATTGGGGCCAGATTGATGTATGCAAAGTTTTGTCAGGTATAGACTGATGTATGCCAAGTTCTGTTCAAATCGGTTCATATTTAGATATAGCTCCTATATATAGTTTCGTCCGATTTTATGTGAATGCTGCACAAAACTCCCAATAATTGTCCGATTGAGACAAAATTTTGCAGAGAGTACTGAATTAGGTCTAGATTAGCCAAGTTTTGTTCAAATCGGTTCAGATTTTGTTACAGTCCCATATTTAGTTTCTTCCGATTTTATGTGAATGATGCCCCAAACACCCAATATTTGTCCCATTACGACCAAATTTTGCACAGCGGTTTAGCATTATATATAGCTACCATATAGTTTTTTCCGATTATATGTAAACTCCCAATAGTTGTCCGATGGAGAAAAAATTGTGCATAGCGAATGCAATTGAGTCAAGAATAAAGTGTGTGTAGGATCGTTGAAATCGGTTCTAATTTAGATATAGGTCTTATATATATTTTCGTCCGATTTTATGTAAATTGTGCATCGAATAGCCTATGTTTGTTCGATTTACGCCAAATTTGTCAGATTTTATAAAATTGAATGTTGAGCTGCAAAAACCAAATGGTGTATGCAACGGTTGCTCAATTAGGTTCATATTTACATACATACATAATTTTGCTCGATTTCATGAAAAAACCACAATGAATCCAAGTCTACCGTTTGACATGCAATTTTTCATTGATTTCAGAATGATATGTCTATGGGTTTCATGGGTTCAAATATCTATGTAGATCACTCATTTAAAATTGAAAAAAACTTATATATGTGATTTTTATGTCTTTCTGAAACCTATGCTAAATTTCATTTCATTTGGACAAGTTTAGAGTCGTTGGCGCACAGTGGGACAGATTTGTGTAAATCGATTTAAAGCAAACTTGACACACGATATTCGGTATGCTGCACTGTATAAAATTTAATCTCAATCAGACGCCTATTGATTTTTTGGTATACAATTAACATAAATAAGCCGAAATTATATATGGAAGCTACGATATATCTATATCTGAACCGATTTGAAGCAAACTTGCCAAAGACTAAATTTCAGTACGTTGTGTCAATCGGCCTAGCTGTGGATCTTCACAGCATAATTTACTTAAAATCGGACGAAAATATATATAGGAGGTGTACATGTCATTCTAGACTTAAATCAATACGCTATGTCACAATTCGTGCAAATCAAATGATTTTCAGGGACTTTGGTGCACCATTTACATAAAATCGGGCGAAACTATATATGGGAGCTATTTGTAAATCTCCTCCTAATGATAGAGTGTATAAAAATAAAAACATCAGCTTTTCAAGTAGCTCGTTTCAGAAGTGATTCGAGTATTGGATAAAACGTTAGCGGTACATACCTGATGCGACTATTTATTGCTGCATAAATAAACGATCTATTTTTTTTAATCAGAACTCGTAGAATCTATATGAGTTATCGAACATAAACTCAAAAATATTTTACTCCCGTTATAGCTTTATTTTTCTATAGTTATTTATGTAGGTTGGTGTGGATGTTAAAGAATAAGATTCGCTGTTGTTAGTATGTATATAGAGATCATATTGTGTTTACAGTTGCCCACATCTGTAGTACTTAGTTCACCTAATTTGTAAAACAAATTTTGAAATTAAAGGAGTAGAAAAATGTTTCAAAAAGTTTTGCCCCATTTTTTATTTCAGTTGTGAAAAGTGTTTAATTCTAGGACTATACTACTCCGCTATAGTGAGCGATGCACTTGACCGATTAGTTCCTTAATAGCTTCTTCGCGACATCTTTTCCGAATCATGTTTTCCCGGAGTAAACATTTACAACATAAGATTCAAATTTTGTTATTAAAAAAATTGGTTCATTTGACCCGATATATATTGAGATAGCCATTCGAATTAGTTGGTCAACTCGCCTTCGCTATGGGAAATTTGCTATGTTCCACCCCTAAAAATAAAGTCTTTGTAAAATACAAATTTTGATAGGCCAAAAATTGTGAATTTTTCAAGCCCTTTAATGGGAGGTAGACAAAATCTTGATTTACCTCCCATATAAGGGAGGCCAATAATAAGCACTTGTGCAAAATTTTATGTACCTACGATAACACCTTATGTTTTTGGCTGACGTAAGGATCACATACACTCCATAGCCCGGTCCATGATGCAATAATGTATCAAAACAAAAACATTTGTTTTTGTCTTGATTATCCGTCAAATTTTTCTTTATAATATTTGAAATGGTTGGCAACACTGCACATCGAATTCAAGTAAAATTACCCATTTTGGCAGTTAATCGAGACATCAGCTGCGCTAAATGGACTACATATTAATTGTGCCATGGTCCGGACTATGGAACTTTACCTTAAATATTCTTCAAAAAATACCCTTTTGGACTTGGAAATCCACGCCTTGGTAGCACTTTAAGAAAAACAATTTTAAAGAAAATACATGTTAACAAATTTTTAAGTTATCTCCTTGTCCTTGAAAAAATATTCTTTTAAAAAACACACACCGTTGTAGGATATTTGCTTCTTTTAAAAGATTATAGGACCTTTGAAAAATTGCATATAATAAACGGGAGGTATGTTAGGATTTTAAAGATGTTACTTTAAAAAATTTCGTTTAAAATATCAACGTAGTTGATGGACCTTAAAAATCTTTCAAAAAAATATTCACGTATATGGTCTAATTTTTATTTTCACAAAAACCCTGGATATCCCAAATTGTATTATTACAGAAATCAATAGAAAAAATCAAAATCTACAGTCTCTTCACTTTCCAGCAGCTGCCTCACGCGTAGCACTCATAACACCTTTGATGCGTGTACACAATGCCTCGGCACCCTTAATATTAACCTCATCATAATCGGGTAATGTTTTCATGCGTTCCATCCATGCCACAGTCAAGGGATATTTTTCAGCGCTGACCGGCAGCAGCAAATTCAAAGTAACCAGAGTGGTATTAATCGAAATATCGGCCACAGTCATTTCATCACCAACCACATATTTTCCTTTTGTGAGGAATGCTTCCAAGAAACTATAGGCATTTTCACAGAGAGTAATTGTTTTCGGATTAAAATCACCTTCACCGCCATAAATGTTGCGGGCCTGAAAGGGAAGAGGGGAATTTTTTTATAATTCACAATTTTTTATATTTTCTTTGAAGAGATACTAACCACAATATCCTTGATTACTTGAAATAGCACACCATTCTCATAGTGCATACGATGATCAATGTGAGCTCGGGTTTTCAAATCCTTTGGATAGAGTTTGTCATCCTTGGCATATTTACCAACCATAAAACAGATAATGGCGTGACTGAAAATATAAAGAAAGAAAATCAGATCTGAACAAATATTCTTTAAAAAAAATTCAAGCCTTGGCGGGACCTTTAAAAAATATTTTAAATAATACAAGACCTTTAAAAATGGTTTCTTGAAAAATCCACGCCTTTTTGGACCTTTAAAAATATTTTTTAAAGAATCCACGCCTTGGTATGATGATTAAAAAATAATATTTAAAAGATCCATGCCTTGGTAGGATGATTAAAAAATAATTTTTAAATTGCGCTCAAGAACCTCAAAATACCGAAAAATGGGGGTGCCCTTAAATGGGGGCTACCAGAAAAGGTGGACCGATATTTATAATTTTCAGTAGAGATATTTGGTACCCAATAAGAACCCAATGTACCAAATTACAGCGAATTCGGTTGAAAAGCGAGCTCAAGAACCCCAAAATACCGGAAATTGGTGGGTACCCTTATATGGGGAATATGTGAAAAAATTTACCTATATTTATAATTTTTTGTGGAGAGATTTGGTACCTATTAAGAACTCAAAATACTAAATTACAGCCGATTCTGTGGAAAAATACGATAAAAACCCCCAAAATTCTGAAAAATAGGAGGTACCGTTATATGGGGGCTACCAGAAAAAGTGGACCTATATTTATAATTTTTTGTGGATACATTTAGTACCCAATAAGAACCCAATGTACCAAATTTCAGCGTATTCGGTTGAAAAACGCGCTAAGGAACCCCAAAATACCGAAAATTGGGGGGTACTGTTATATGGGAGCTATACCTAAACGTGGACCGATATATCCCATCTTCGAACTTGACCTGCCTGCAGACAAAAGACAACCCTATGCAAAATTTCAGCACCCTATCTCAATTCCTTCAGAAGATAGCGCGATTACAACAGACGGACAGACGGACGGACATGGCTAGATCGTCTTAGAATTTTACCCTAATCAAGAATATATATACTTTATAGGGTCGGAAATGAATATTTCGATGAGTTATAAACGGAATGACAAAATTAATATACCCTCCATACTATGGTGGAGGGTATAAAAAATCCATGCCTTGGTACATCTATTTAACACACATTTTTCTTCGGGTGTATTGTTATTATAATTTTGTGCATTCGACTCTCTTCGTCTGGGGGTTCTCTTTTGCAGATTTCTCTCCCTCCCGAAAGAAAAAAATCTGTTTGACAACAGTTCAACACATGTTCTGCTGATTGACACATTCGCACACTCACCTGTCAATGTACACTTCACCGTCGGTATCCACAAAAACCGGTATCTGATGTTGGGGATTTAACTGCAACAAAAAAACCAAACAACCAAAATATAAACATGAAGAAATGTAATACGATTTTTGTGGTCGGTTTTGCCCTTCTGGCGAACTATTATTTCCTGGGAACTCTTTGGGGCTGAGTAACCTCTACGTGCTTACCTTTAGAAATTCTTCACTCAGATGTTCTTTTTGCGAGAAATCAACAAATCTGAAATATGTATACAATATATAATTATATAAGTATATCGTGTGTTTAGCAAAAAATTCTGTTTGCATACTTCAAATCCAAATCGAGACCAATCAACTTAGCTGTTATCATGCAAGCCCTGGCCGGAGGACTAAATAGAGCATAGTACAGAGTTGGTTTGTTGCTCATTGTAGCTGTTTTTGTGTTATTACAAATGGATTCCTAGTTGTTGTTGTTTTTGTTAAAATCGAAACAACTTGGCGTTTGTATTTTAGCGACCGAGAACGTTCTAAGAGCTTTGAATGTTGAAATGCAACTGATTCGCAAACGAAAATGTGTTGGCACTCGCAGATGTTTGTATGCCACTATTCGATGGGATTCTATGAGAGAGAAAGAGTACATTGAGGCTCCCATTGGGAGCCAAAGTTTGGGTCTCTTGACAATACTCTTATCTATACTAATAAAAGAGTAAAGTGATTGACTGACTGACTGACAGATTTTACGATTCATCAACCCTCAGACGAAACGGCTGAAGCTAGAATCTTGAAATTTTGGTTGAGGGTCACTCTTGGTCCAAATGTGACAGGCTGGGTTTTTGGAAATTCGTACTATAACGGTACGAAAAGTACTAAAAGGTACTAAATGTGATACCATTTGTATTTGGCGAACCGGTGGAGCTAGAACTCTGAAATGTGGTTTGGTGGTCGTTGATGGAGTGTTTTTTGTTTAGAAATTCGAACTATAACTATCCGAAAAGTACGAAAATGTACTAAATTTGGTACAATTCTGTAGCATGTGAACGGATAGCGTTAAAAACTTGAAGTTTGGAGTGTAAATTAAGGTTGAGATGTAGGGTCCATTTAAGGAGATGGTTTTGAATGCGCTTACTCATGTGTACGAAAAGTACTATTGGTACTATATTTGGTACAAATTTAATCTATACTAATAAAAGTGTAAAGTGATTGACCGACTGACTGATTTAACGATTCATCAATGCCCAGACTAAACGGCTGAAGCTAGAATCTTGAAATTTTGGGTGAGTGTCACTCTTGGTCCAAATGTGACAGATAAGGCTGGGTTTTTGGAAATTCGTACTAGAACCTTACGAAAAGTACTAAATATGGTATCATTTGTATTTGGCGAACCGGTAGAGCTAGAAATCTGAAATTTGAATTGAGGGTCACTGATGGCGTTTAGAATAGATGTAGCAAAGGACTTTTTGGAAATTCGAACTATATGTATCGGAAAAGTACTAAAATGTACTAAATTTGGTACAATTTCGTAGCATGTGAATGGATTGATCTAAAAACTTGAAATTTGGAATGCGAATTAGGGTTGAGATGTATGGTCTATTTAAGAAGATGGTTGTGAAAGCGTGTACTCATGTGTACGAAAAGTACTACATGGTACATATTTAATTCGGAGGTACAAATCGAGCTGGAATACTGGAATTTGAAATTAAAATTTCCGTCGGAGTGTAGGATTGGGATATGAACGTAGTTTTGAAAATTTGTTACTTATGTGTACGAAAAGTACTAATCGTACTATAATTGGTACAAATTGGATTTGGGTGAACCGATAGAGCGGGAACAATGAAATTAGGAGTCAGGATCATTGTAGGCGTGTAAGATTAGGGTCAGAATTCAGTTTAACAAATTAATACTTATGGGTACTAAATGGTACTAAATTTGGTACACTTTGAAATTTAGATGAACCAATAGAGTTAGAATCATGAAATTTAGAGTCAGGATCACTTTTGAGGTGTAAGATTGAAATATGTAGGAAGTTTTAGAATTTGTACTAAAGTGTACTAAATTTGTTACAATTTAAATTGTGGGTGAAGCAATAGAGTTGAAATCATGAAATTTTGATTTAGAAGGTTAAGGTTGAGAATTAGGGTCGATATGAGGAGAGTTTGGAAAGTGTGTACTCATGTGTACGAAAAGTACTATGTGGTACTATATTTGGTACAAATTTGATTTGGAGGTACAAATCGAGCTGGAATCTTGGAATTTGAAATTAAAATTACCGTCGGAGTGTAGGATTGGCATATGAACGTAGTTTTGGAAATTTGTTACTTATGTTTACGAAAAGTACTAAATCGTACTATAATCGGTCCAGTTTGGATTTGGGTGATCCTATAGAGCGGGAACAATGAAATTTGGTGTCAGGATCACTGTATGGGTGTGGGATTGGGGTCAGGATTCAGTTTAACAAATTAATACTTGTGGGTACTAAATGGTACTAAATTTGGTACAATTTGAATTTTAGGTGAACCAATAGAGTTAGAATCATGAATTTTGGAGTCACTGTTGAGGAGTAAGATTGAAATATGTAGGAAGTTTTAGAATTTGTACTAAAGTGTACTAAATTTGGTACAATTTAAATTGTGGGTGAAGCGATAGAGTTGAAATAATGAAATTTTGATTTAGGATCACTGTGGAGGTATAGTATTGAGGTATGTAGGAAGTTTTGGAAATTCGTACTACTGTGTACTAAATTTGGTACAATTTGAATTGTGGGTGAACCGATAGCGTTGGAATCCTGAATCTTGGATTTAGGATCACTGTAGGGGTGTGGTTTGGGTTAAGTTGGCAGTTTTTGAGATTCATACTACTGTGTACTAAATTTGGTACAATTTGAATTGTGAGGAAACCGATAGAGTTTGAATCCTGAAACTTAGATTTAGAATCACTGTGGGGGTGTTGCTTTGGGTTAAGTAGGAAGTTTTGGAAATTCGTACTACTGTGTACTAAATTTAGTACAATTTGGATTGTGGGTCAACCGATAGCGTTGGAATCCTGAAACATAGATTTAGGATCACTGTGGGGTGTTGGTTTGGGTTATATAGAAAGTTTTGGAAATTCGTACTACTGTGTACCAAATTTAGCACAATATGGATTGTGGGTCAACCATCAGCGTTGGAATACTGAAACATAGATTTAGGATCACTGTGGAGGTGTAGGATTCGGGTATGTAGGAAGATTTGTAGAAATTGGTACAACTATATCCTAAATTTGGTACAAGAGGTATTGGAAATTCATACTACTGTGTACTAAATTTGGTACAATTTGAATTGTGGGTGAACCGATAGAGTTTGAATCCTGAAACTTAGATTTAGGATCACTGTGGCGGTGTTGGTTTGGGTTAAGTAGGAAGTTTTGGAAATTCGTACTACTGTGTACTAAATTTGGTACAATTTGAATTGTGGGTCAACCGATAAAGTTGGAATCCTGAAATTTGAATTTGGAATCATTTTGGGGGTGTAGGATCGGGGTATGCAGGAAGTTTTGTTAGATGTTTGAGGAGGGTACTTATGGAAATAATGTGCGCTAAATGGAAAATTTGGATTTGTGTGAACCTTTAGAGTTCAAATCATGAATTTTTTTACTAAATGGTACTCAAATTTAATTTATGGTCGATATTAATGTGTGGATTGTTTTTTGTGACATATGCAGTTTTTTTTTGAAAATAAAATAATATGTTAAGACCTGTTTAAATATTTCCTACATTCGCTAACGAAGTTGCGGGCATATGCTAGTATTGAATATAAATAAAATTCCCTTGAAAAGGAAACAAACCATAAAAAAATATTTTTATGCCCTCCACCATAGTATGGAGGGTATATTAATTTTTTTTTGTAACTCATCGAAATATTCATTTCCGACCCTATAAAGTATATATATTCTTGATCAGGGTAAAATTCTAAGATGATCTAGCCATGTCCGTTCGTCCGTCCGTCTGTTGTAATCACGCTATCTTCTGAAGGAATTCAGATAGGGTGCTGAAATTTTGCATAGGGTTGTCTTTTGTCTGCAGGCAGGTCAAGTTCGAAGAGGGGATATATCGGTCCACGTTTAGGCATAGCTCCCATATAAGGGTACCCGCCAAATTTCGGTATTTTGGGGTTCTTGAGCGCGTTTTTCAGCCGAACTCGCTGAAATTTGACACATTGGGTTCTTATTGGATACTAAATGTCTCCACAAAAAATTATAAGTATAGGTCCACTTTTTCTGGTAGCCCCCATATAACGGTACCTCCTAATTTTCAGTATTTTGGGGGTTTTGATCGTATTTTTCCACCGAATTGGCTGTAATTTAGTATTTTGAGTTCTTAATAGGTACCAAATCTCTCCACAAAAAATTATAAATATAGGTCAATTTTTTCGGGTAGTCCCCATATAAGGGTACCCCCCAATTTTCGGTATTTTGGGGTTCTTGAGCGCGTTTTTCAGCCGAATTCGCTGAAATTTGCTACATTGGGTTCTTATTGGGTCCTAAATGTCTCCACAAAATATAATAAATATAGGCCCACTTTTTTTGCTAGCCCCCATATAACGGTACCTCCCAATGTTCAGTATTTTAAGGGTTTTGCTCGTATTTTTCCGCCGAATTAGCTGTAATTTAGTATTTTGAGTTCTTAATAGGTACCACATCTCTCCACAAAAAATTATGAATATAGATCCATTTTTTCGGATAGCCCCCATGTAAGGGTACCCCCAATTTTCGGTATTTTGGGGTTCTTGAGCGCGTTTTTCAACCGAATTTGCTGCAATTTGGTGTTTTGTAGTCTTATATGGTAACAAATCTCTCTACCAAAAATTATTAATATTCGCCTCCTTTTTGGGGTAGTCCCCATATAATCCCCTTTTTTATATTAAAATAGTTATCTGATTTGTTCCGCGTTTTGAGTTTGGTTCTAAGAATCTGTTGTAATCATTTCACCTGCGGAGGATAGCGAGATAAAAAATTAGAACTTAAGGTTCGATAGCCGCATTTAGACCTAGCCCCTGTGTGGAGGTTTCAGAAGGAGTGGACCGATATTCCCCATCTTCGAATTTGAATTATCAATTAAAAATTTCTGAAATTTTATTATGGTTTACATAATCCGTTTTTAGACATGTCGGTATAGGTTCACGTTTTGGTATGTTCCCTTTATTTTCATTTTTAGTACCTGTCAGTATATCAATGGTGGAGGGTATCCAAAGTTCGGCTCGGCCGAACTTAACTCTTTTTCACTTGTTTTTTTAAATTCACGCCTTGGTAGGAGGATAAAAAAATCCACGCCTTGGTAGGAGGATTAAAAAATCCACGCCTTGGTAGGAGGATTAAAAAATCCACGCCTTGGTAGGAGGATTAAAAAATCCACGCCTTGGTAGGAAAAATATTCTTTTAAAAAATCCACGCCTTGGTAGGAGGATTCTT